CGGGCAGGAAGGACATAAGTGTCTACTTTGAGGATTGGGAGATCCTGGAGTTCCAGCTGTTCAAGAATGCCATTGCCACGTGACTGGAAATTCTGTTGGACTATGGTATGGGGCAGAATGACAGTACCACTACAAGAATTGAGAGAAAGATGTTTTTCAATAGTGATAGGAGTAGTATCGATATTCGAAAGGAGATAAAGATCATGAGCTTGGGTACATTCTGGACAGTGACGATGCGCGTACCGCTCTTGAGAGCATGAAATGAAATATCTCTACCAACATGATGCAGGAGCGCTTTGCCAATACTATGGTCAGAAAGATCGACTTCTTCTGCCTGTCTTAAAGTAAAGAATTTAGTCCTTGTGTGGTCCGAAACTGCTGGCGAATTCGAAAATTGGCCATACCGATGAGGGAGAGGCCGAAAGCATAGTCAAAGGAGTGCGGAGGTTTTGACAAATACGAAAGGAGTTAGTCTAAGCCCGGTACCTGAAGCAGGTGAGGAAAACAGCACCAGCAAGAGGTCAGGGGCATGAGGAGTGTCCGAAGAGTAGTCTAAAAACAAGGCAGGGTCAGAATGGGGTGCGGTATCAAGAAGGGGCCCGGGGTAGTGGGTTCTTGGATTGGGTTCTCCATGGTTAGGTTACTCCTTTTTTTTTTTTTTTTTTTTTTTTTTTGTTTTCTAAAAAGAAAAGAAAATAAAAAAAAAAGAGAATAAAAAAAGGGGGAGCGGGGAGGAATAGTTCCCAGGAGGAATGAAAAGGGCCGGAAATCTCCCTCCGCGCCCAAGATGACCTCAGCACCGCTAGTAGCGCAGATGCAGCATGGAACTCGTGCCATACCCTACCCTTCATGCCAGTAAACCAGCAATCCAGGATAGCAACCTCACATCTGCCGAGCTACCTCAGTGGACAAAAGAGGGCGGCTGGATATCCGCCCACAAAGCATTTCCTCCTTCGGCCACCACCCCCAGAATCCGAAAGGTGGCTTCCAGAGATACACCCGTTGCCCAAAAGACACCCAAAGCTACTCCGGGATACCAGAGAGGGATCGGGACATCCCCAGGCGATCCAGATTCCACGGCAAATTACGCCACTGCCAGAACCTCAACGGAATGGATGAACCCCGGTATCTTTTCCCCTACCTAGGAATTAGCGCGCCTGTGGGAGAAATCCTGAAGGGCAAAAGGAAGGGGTGGGAGGAGGAGGAGGAAAGGAAAAAAAAAGGGGGGAGGGGAAAGGGGGGGGGGATTGGGGGGGAA